CTTTTCACGGGCAGTTTCGTTAAAATAACATCCCTCGAGAACAAGTTTGCACGGGTGGCTCACCTAAAAGAAACTACATGTACAAACACTTTTCAACTGTGGATCACTTAAGTAACCGCATGTGAAAATGTTTTTGGCAAGTTGTTTAGTTAAATGAACTACCTGATCATGATGAGTACCACAAACAGTTATCTAAGTACCCGCTATGTTTATATTTGAACAAATACAAAAATTAAATATTTCTATATATTAGTGTCTAGATTTTATCACAAATTATATTGACTAGCTGAATACCCGTACATTGCAATAAGAACTAAAAATAACAAATTATATTGACAAGTTGAATGCCCATGCACTGCAACGAGAATAAATTAAAAAAAGAGAACATCCCGTACACCTTAAAGCTCAAAAATTAAAATAAAATATTCCCAATTAATTAAATCTTTAGTCCATATTTGTCATCATTTGAAAATAAATTTCCCTTGATTGATGGCTTGGGATTAGAGAAGGTACAAAATTTCACCTACCTTATTGTTTGGGGGACGCATATGACAGTTGTGATGGTTGGTGGAAAATGCACAATTCACCTCTACAGTTGGGGTCTTTTAAAGTAGTATAGATTCATCTCATAAATCATATCATTATCTGATAACATATTTCTAATAGAAAAAAGATTACTCTAATAGACAAAAAAGATGCCATCATCTTATTTATAACATATCACAATCCAATGTTGTGACTATTTACATCACAATCCCATAATAGCATTACTATTCAAAATGCGGGTACAATAGTATTGCTCACAATCTATTCACAAGATTATGTTTCACAAAATAATATCATCAATAGTTTTAAGTATTCTACACATTGGTAGACTTCCATACCTGACAAAATGATTAATGTGAGGCAACGCCATTGTAAGGATCAAAACATTTATCTCATTGCATATATCTCATGTGGATAAACCACCACATATATACTATGTAGATGTTGTGCCATCATTATCACGATATATAGTTTGCTACATGAAGGGGGCTAGCTACACATTGGAGACACGGAAGAGGATGTGTTCTGGTTCATATTAGAAATAAATGGGTGACATTGTGGCGCCATCATTGTCACAACATATAGTTGGCTACATGAGGAGGCTAGCTACACATTGGAGACGAGGGCGATATGTTGCGGTTAATATTAGTAATACATGAGTGACATTTTGGTGGTTCGGAAAAATATATATGTTATTGTGGATGGCACACTATGAACAATAGTTGTCATGAATGATTGCAGAAAAACCACATAGCTAAGGTATTACTCCAGTTTACCATATTATTAAAATAGGCATAAAGAAGCCAACACATTTGACATCAATAACAAGAAATTACCAGGTTAGTTGGATAAAATAATGTAAAGATCAAAACCATTGATCACATGTGTTAGAACCAAAACTAGACTCATGTTGATTAAAAGTAATTTTTGTAGGTACCAGAATTATATGTTTTAAGTAGGGAAGATTTGTGTGCTGAACAACTTTATTTCAAATAGGAAAATACAGTTGCACATAAATTTTGGCTAGTTACAAACACTACCATAGAACAGAGCATAACTGTGGATCATAATCGAGATCAGTGTCAATTTTTGACTGGCAGTTATGGACATGAATAGGGTTATTACACACACCGGGATCTCAATTAACTTGTATAAAAATCTTTGTCTCTTATTTCCTTGCTATAACATCGTTTGCGTCCTCGTACTAGCAGAACCCTATATACTGAAATACTATAGTCCAAGTATTTATTATCAATCGACATATAAGTGAAATACATATTTAGCCCTACAATCTTGTATCACGAATAGGGCATACACTCAATATTTGATAGAGTCTAAGTGGCACTTGGATGGTAGCTATGGGAGAAGATTTCCTATGTGCCACTGAGATTTTTCTCATTTATGAAAATTATTCTTTATTGATGATGCATAAATGGGATTGAGTATAACTCAAGGAAGTGAAAGAGATTGGATGAACTCGATCAAAGCCACATATAAATTTTCCATAGGTTGCTAGGGCACCGGGTCTACAACGGTTTGGATAGCATGATCATATTATCCGAACCATAGAATCACTGTTGGGTTTGAGCCTTGAAGGCTTGAACCCACAGTGATATGACTTAAACAGGCTTGAGAACTATCACTACCACTACTACAAAAGTGATTTTTCTGTACGAGACTCCTTCATTTTTTCAAACAGACTATAACTAGTGGCGTCTGCAAAAATCGAGCGGCATTTTCGCAAACGGCTGCTTAAGACGCCCATATGGAAAAATCGATTTTCCCATATGGGTCTCTTAAGAGGTCCGCATGCAAAAATGACCTTATTTTTGCATGCGCTCACTTAAGCACCTGCATGGAAAAATCAAAACGTCTTAAGCAGCCGTATGCAAAAATAAATTTAAAAATTTTGAAACTAGTGTATCTCACTCATATGAACTCCAAATTGGATGATTCTTTTTCCCAAATGTTTCTAAAATCATGCTCTATCATGTTATTATGTTCTTATTGCTATTATTTTGGCCATTTTTTCTTGTGACTTTGTTTTATAATTAAAAATTTGAATTTCAAAACTTCAAACAATATTTTCAAATACTAAATGATTCTGCTGAAAAAGTCATCAATAACAAAGTTGTATAACTCATGAAGATCTATAACTTCTATTTTGGTCATTTCTTTATCCGACAAAGTGATAGTAACATTTGTTCAAAATTTACATCTCTCTTATAGTTTATAAAATTATATAAGAGATATGTACATTTTGTGAACAATCTTACATATCACTTTGTCGGATGAAGAAATGACCAAAATAAAAGTTATAGATTTTAATAAGTTATACCACTTTATTTTTGATGACTTTTTCAGTTGAAATCATTTAGTATTTGAAAATGTTGTTTGAAGTTGTCATAATTTGAAATTAAAATTCAAACTGTCGAAACAAAGTCATATAGAAAAATGACCAAAACAAAAGTTGTAGATCTTGATGCGTTTTACAACTTTGTTCTTGACAATTTTTTTTATTTAAAATCATTTACTACCCGAAAAATTATTTGAATTTCTTTTTTAAAAAAATTCAAATTTTATATAGTTCAATCAAACTTGGATGGCGAAATGACCAAAAGAAAAATAGTAGATCTCAATGTGTTCTACAACTTTGATTTTGACAACTTTTTCATACGAGTTGATTTAGTGCCGTAAAAATCTACCCGAAATTTCAAATGAAAATTTTCCCTCCTCACCACTTTAAAAAATTTTCAGTCTCTCCTATTCTCTCTCCCCCCCTTGATATTTTCTATCTCTCCTCCTATTCCTCTCTCTCACTCACTCTTTTCTCTCAGCACTCACTCTTTTCTCTCCCCTCTCTCTCGGTCTCGGCGGCACCGTCGACGCTCCCCTCCGCGCGCGGCCGCTCCTCCCTGGTGGTGGTGGTGGCAGCGGCGCCGACCCCGACGATGACGACGCCGACCCCAATGACGATGACCCCAACGACGACGACGAGTGGGCGGCCACGACGACGACGATGACCCTGACGACGACGACGAGTGGGTGGCGACGCGGGCGGCGGCACCACCGGCATCCCCTCCTCACCATCGCCAACGACAACCACGAGGAGCTGGGCCAAATCCGGCGGCGGCGGGCCTCGTCCCCCCCTCCCCCCCGGATCGGTGGCGGCGAGAGCGGGAGCGCGGGCAGGCGGCGGCGGAACCGGGGCGGCCGGCGAGCTCGGGCGGCGGCGCTAGGGTTTCTTTTTTGTTTTTTTTATTTTTGGAATTTTATTTTTATTTTGTGATTTTTCTCTTTGCATGCCGTCGTCTTAAGCGTCCGCGTGTGAAAATCGGATTTTCGCATACGGTTGAACCGGTCGCATGCAAAGATCGCGATCTTCGCAGACGATTTGGCACATGCGGTTGCACCAACCGTATGCGAAAACCCTTCTCGCCCGTATGCAAAAACCATCTTTGTTGTAGTGTACGGTTCACAATGGTTTGGATGGGAAATCATTGTGAACCAAAAGTGATAGACTGATTTCGACGAGTGTTTTTTTTTAAGTAGTGCCACAATTTTGGTCATCATACGTCGTGTCTAAAATTGTAACTTTTGAAAACCAATTTACATTAAATTAAATTTATAAGACTAAATAAAGACGATGGTCATTGAACAATTGTTGAGAAAAATCTACACACATGTGTGTCCAACACAAATGTTTACACATATACTACTATGTTCATAGTCGAAGTTAGATTTTTTTTTTCCTTAAAGGGAAAGTCTGTTTTCAAATTTTAGACCTCACTCCTTCCGTTTCAAATATATCGTGTATTTTTTTTTCTAGGGCAAGCTTTTGACCAATGATTACTCTATTATGACACAATGTTAAAGGGATAGATTCATATTCAAAATTACTATTATAATTATAATTTTGTCATATAAATAATATTTTAAGCAATTGTTAGCCAAAATCTCGTCCTAACGAAACAAAATACGCCTTATTTTTAAAAACACGGAGTATATCCTTAAATATTTCTCTATCCAATATAAAAGGTCAATCTTTTAAAATTCCGATCATCAATAATTTCTCAAATAATTACTTTGAAATAAAAAAACATATGCAAATTTGTGTCGTCATAATATCCAATGAACTTATTCAAATTTATAAACTTATTTTAATTCAAAATTTGATCATTAATTTTTTTTTTAAAAAAAAACCAAATCTTATCATAAACGTCAAATATATTTTTGATAGTGGGGGCGATAATACCATAAAACTAACAACAGAAGAGACATGATACTACTACTGTAATCCTAATACGTACGTACGTATACTTCTACGCCGGATGCATAACTTCAGCCTTGTGAGACACAACAGTTGCTGCCTAGCTCGTGGTCGTTGGTTTTTTCGCTCGAGAAACCACTACGCGTAAACCGTGAAGTATATTATATATAGCCAACTGGTCTTCTCGCAAATCCGCACATCCCTTTCTGCCCCTCGTCTTCTCCCCCTCCCTGGCCGGCCTGTCTAGTACAAAACAATGGGGACTCGGCTCTTGGCGCTCGCGCCATGGCTGCTGCTGCTCCTCCTGCAGCTCGCCGGCGCGTCCCATGTCGTCCACCGGAGCCTCGAGGCCGAGCAGGCGCCGAGCTCGGTGCCGGCCTCCATTGTCAGCCCCCTGCTCAGGACAGGATACCACTTCCAGCCCCCGATGAACTGGATCAACGGTAAGCAAAGATTGTGCTCAGCTAGCTTCTCTGAACTTTTGGATGTTCTTCAGTTCCTCTTTGTCTTGGTTTCTTCGACATCTTCTCTTCAAAGCTTGGTTTGTTTTGGTTTCTTCTTATCTTCAGTATTAGCTATAGCTTAGCTTTATTACATAACTAGTACAAGAAAATATCATGCCATAGACGAACAAAGCAATACATGGCTCTGAATTTTAGCTGATGTACTCCCTCCGTTTCAGTTTATAAGATGTTTTGGCTTTGGTCAAAATCTAACTGCTTCAAATTTGATCAAATTTATAGAAAATAATAATAATATTTTAAAGCCAAGATAAATTTATTTAAAAATATATTTAATTATTAATTTAATAAAACTAATTTTGTAATGTAAATATTATTATATTTGTCTATAAACTTAGTAATCTGAAACGGAGGGAGTATGCAAGTAGTACTTTGCACCTTGGTAAAAAATTAAAACAGCTTCTGTGGTTAGTGGTTTAATCTCGTGTTAATCTACATAACCGCTGGTGATTTCTGGTGGACAAAAAAATTACAGCTTGCTGAGTTATCAACTTTATATTGGCTATGTTAGTTAGGTAGTCCTGCAGTTGTTTTCTTCTCCATCAGAAAAGTCAAGCTGCAGGCTTTTAAGTTATCACAGTATCCGACAACGGTGAAGACTTGCAGTTCAGCAAGTACCCGAATAATAATACACCAGCTTTGTTTTTGAGCATTAAGCTAATAACTCTTGATTGATACCTAATTGATGCTTGCTGCAATTATACTGTTCTAACTCGATTTTTTTATTTCTCTTCTTGTGTCTGGTTCTGATCATATCGCTGCGACTGCAAATTAATCTCATCGACGACAGATCCGAACGGTACGAATTTTCCGGCCCACTTCTTGCAAATTATCTCTGTCTTGTTCTGCCTACTAGATCTATGATGTTGAGAGTATAATGAACAGCAACGCTTGTGTGCATGTGTTTTTTAAATATGGGAAGATTAAAGACCAATTTTTTAGAAGGAGCTAAGAGAAAGGACAGTTTAACATTAAAATGGTGCATGCCGGCACGCACATGCTGCAAGGCGAATGCGTATATACAACGGCCTCTTGCAGTAGGCAGAAAAATTTAAGCTGGTCAAGCTTTCGAAGTTTGGTCTTAAAATTTGACAATGGGATCAATCAACGGATTCCTTTGGCGTATCACTGTCTGGAAGTGAATCTCAATTTGATTATACGAATTTAGACATGACAAGACATAATCAATTTCACAATAAACTTTAATTTAAACAACTCATTTTTGTAAAACAGTAAAGAAACCATATAAAAAGTGATAAGTTGATAAGCAATAAGTTGTACCTGTACACAAGAATAGATCTAATTAACATGTGTACTATGGGCTCCCCCCCCCAACCCCCACCCCCACCCCAAAAAAAAATTGGGGGATCCGCCCCAGTTATACATGAAAAATGTTTTGAGCTTTTGAGTTGATAAGTTGAGAACATTGAACAGGGCCACTGTATTACAAGGGATGGTACCACCTATTCTACCAGTACAACCCCAAGGGAGCTGTGTGGGGCAATATCGTGTGGGCTCACTCGGTATCACAGGACCTCATCAACTGGATAGCCCTTGAGCCGGCAATCAAGCCCGACATCCCCTCCGACCAGTACGGTTGTTGGTCTGGCTCTGCCACCATCCTTCCCGATGGCACGCCGGCGATCCTCTACACTGGGATCGACCGCCCCAACATCAACTACCAGGTGCAGAATATCGCATTTCCCAAGAATGCGTCAGACCCGCTCCTTCGTGAGTGGGTCAAGCCGGCCTACAACCCGGTGGCCACGCCGGAGCCTGGTATGAACGCAACGCAATTCCGCGATCCGACAACGGCCTGGTACGCCGACGGTCATTGGCGGATGCTCGTTGGTGGCCTGAAGGGGGCTCGCCTCGGCCTTGCCTACCTCTACCGGAGCCGGGACTTCAAGACATGGGTTCGGGCCAAGCACCCACTCCATTCGGCGCTCACTGGGATGTGGGAGTGCCCAGACTTCTTTCCGTTGCAAGCACCAGGTCTCCAGGCTGGCCTCGACACATCTGTGCCGAGCAGCAAGTACGTGCTCAAGAACAGCCTCGATCTCACCCGTTATGACTACTACACGGTGGGCATCTACAACAAGGTGACGGAGCGGTATGTGCCGGACAACCCTGCTGGCGACTACCACCGGCTCCGCTATGACTACGGCAACTTCTACGCATCAAAGACCTTCTTCGACCCGGTGAAGCACCGCCGCATCCTGCTTGGGTGGGCTAACGAGTCCGACAGCGTCACCTACGACAAGGCGAAGGGCTGGGCCGGCATCCATGTAAATCATAGTTACAATTTTGCAATCCTAATTTCTTGTACTACCTACCTCCACAAATGTTTGATGTTATTAGTTATCTTAATTTCAAGAGCTAACCAAACGTAAAAGAAAAATTGGAGGGACTAGAGGTTTAATTAGAATTGATTTGGAGATTGATGGCTTGGCTTGTGTCGTTGGCAGGCGATCCCAAGAAAGGTATGGCTGGACCCGAGCGGGAAGCAGCTTCTGCAGTGGCCAATCGAGGAGCTGGAGACGCTGAGGGGCAAATCGGTCAGCGTCTTTGACAAGGTGGTGAAGCCCGGGGAACATTTCCAAGTCACGGGCCTCGGAACCTACCAGGTTGCTACACTACAAAATCAAAAACCAGTAACTTGAAATTTCCATCCACAAGAAAATGAGACTAGAATATTGGCCATATATATTGCTGCCGTCAAGGGCCCCATGTGCAGGAGCTTCCTAGTTATACGGAGTACTAGCTAAGCTCGCTCCGGTCCAATTCCGTATGGGCAGCGATCATCGCGTGCCCAATTCCTGCTCGTGCACGCGAAGATCGCGAAGTCGCCGGACCGGCGATTTTTCCGCTCGGTCGGCGTCAGCTTCCGCTCCCGCCCGTTTCACCTTCAACGGCGTGGACGCATCCGGTTGGCCGGAGAGGAACCTGCAACGCATCGCATATTCGCCTTCTAGGTGTGACGCTGACGCTTACAAGTTTTGCTTTGATATTTGTGTGTCGATCAGGCTGACGTGGAGGTGAGCTTGGAGGTGTCCGGGCTGGAGAAGGCGGAGGCGTTGGACCCGGCGTTCGGCGACGACGCGGAGAGGCTGTGCGGCGCGAAGGGCGCGGACGTGAGGGGCGGCGTGGTGTTCGGGCTGTGGGTGCTGGCCTCCGCCGGCCTGGAGGAGAAAACCGCCGTCTTCTTCCGCGTCTTCAAGCCGGCCGGGCACGGCGCCAAGCCCGTCGTCCTCATGTGCACCGACCCTACCAAGTACGATACCACTACCAGCCAAATCTATACTACTACCTTGTGATGTCTCGGTACAATGCAAGCAGCACACATGCATATACCCATCCTGCATGCACTGATCAATGTCTGCCACGTTTTCAAAAAAAAAATGAGAGAAGAAATACATGATCTTAGAGTTGGAATCACACACCCTTTATCACAGCACTATCAAATACGTCTCCTGTCACATTTTCGCAATTACCCAAACACAGTAGACAACTTAAAATGCTAAATCCAAAGCTCTGAAGTTGATTAATTACTGTCCTTTTTTTATTGAGCAGGTCTTCTCTTAGCCCGGATCTCTACAAGCCAACTTTTGCCGGGTTCGTCGACACCGACATCTCGTCCGGGAAGATCTCCTTGAGAAGCTTGGTATAGTACACACATATACTACGAGCTTAATTAACCACGTTTTTTATTAGTGCCTCTCGTATATAACTTACCAATGCTTTATTGACTGTGACCATGATTAGTCTTATATATGCATCATTGTTTGTGACTTCGTTTCAGATTGACCGTTCGGTGGTTGAGAGCTTCGGCGCCGGGGGCAAGACCTGCATCCTGTCGAGAGTTTACCCGTCGATGGCGATAGGTGACAAGGCCCATCTTTACGTCTTCAACAATGGGGAGGCGGATATTAAGATTTCACATCTGAAAGCGTGGGAAATGAAGAAGCCGCTTATGAATGGCGCCTAATTAATTTGCCGCGGATATATATGATGGCGACTTTAATTAATTGCTATTATTAAATCATCACTCGCCATCTGCGATATACCGGCCAGATCGTCCCTGACATCGATCTCCTGTTCTTGGCCGATGTTGCACGCTGCACGATATTTGATTGCTTGTTGCTGAGGATGATTGGAGTTTGTATTCGTGTCTCCAGATATCGAAAGACCAGGGTAATTTTACACTCTTCTTGTACAATTAATTGATTGTATCACGAGTTGTTTGTAAACAATTGTTTGTATCACGAGTTGTTTGCAAACATTTGTTTGTACCACGATCGAGTTGTGTGACAAATAAATTAAGATGCTGATTATTTCATCATGTTACAGATAATAAAGAGGTTTTCCGTGATTTACTTCACTTGTATGCATGTGTCCTTGTAACGCTGATGAAATAAGATGACCTAATTTGATAATCCTTTCATTTCAAAATATAAATGCATATATGGCCCACTTGGCATTACTTTTTCCAATATGTTGCGCATTTCGTTCCTAAATTGTAGAATTTGCTTTCAAAATTAATTTTAGGATATTTTTCTTACAGTTTAATTACCCGGATTAATTTTTATGATTGCTAGTACGTACGATTAAAAAGTTTACCTAAATTACTACTAAAAATCATATTTCAAAAGTTTAACCTTTTATTTAAAAAAATTCGCTGCTCTTACCTGGCAAAGGGGAAGTTCATATTCCTGTTGCGAGTCAAAGGTACGAGAGATATCGCCACCAATATAAGGGGGAAATTTGACATTTATTTATCCAAAGAAAAGGAGTACTGCCTCTCTTTTTTTTTTCGTTTTTTTAGAACTCCCAAGTAGTGGCTTGAAATTGCTCCACCGAATGCGTCAGAAAGTTGTATGTATCATCATAATCGTCAGAATCTTAAGACAGAAAATAATGGTAGGTGCGTGCGCTAGCTAGTGTCATGGTTCGTACGGATGATGGTGCCATTATTATATCAGGGAACTAACAGTGGTGCTATGCTAATCTTTTCTTTAAAAAATTACCAGTATCATGTAACTATCACCAGGTGGATATCCTGCCTATGATTAACGACAGAAACACGATCGAATCAGGGATATATAATAGTTAATGTGAGATACGCCAGTTGGCCACGTCAGCATTTCAACAAGCTGCAGGGGAATTAAAACATGAATGCCTGTCTTTTGGTTAGTTGCAAAGCAGGCATGCAAATTAATGTGCCCTAGCATATATACGCACACCGCTCTCAGTGCACTGGAAGATGCTCTCGGCTCTCCTCAAGGACATCATACCAATGTTGTGCTTACACTCTCCCAATTCCTAAAATCAACTGGTGAAACATTGATAGGATAACTGGTTGTCTGGATGTGTACATGTCTCAGTACGTCTTTTAACTCCCAAATCCCAATTCCTTAAGTGTTGTTGGCTTCAACATAAACCAGCTAAAAGTACATAACCTATAAGTGAGTGTATATATATGCAGGGCCTTACCTACGAATTCGAGGCCCCAGTGCAAAACACAATTTAACGCTAATATAAGTAGGAAAGACAAAAAAAAATAGCAGTGGAGCTCTATCTCAGTCAGAAGAAAATTTTAAATAATTGTTAGAAAAATATTATGTTATGATGTAGTAATTTATTTTTATTATATGGAAAAATGTAATCTTTAATGCCTAGAACGCACGTTCATATCATCGTCATGAGCTATAGCTCTTTGAGTTAGCCATGATTGCCATCGAACACTTATCGGAACTAAAAAAACAAGCCTGTTCTAGCCAAATGAACAAATGAGTAAAAGTGAAACTTTATAAAAATGGAACAAGAGGTCTTCAAATATATTGAAACGCATTGGCATAGATTAAAATATAAAAATATTGCGGCCCCTAATTTTTGGGGCCCTATTCGATCGCTCATTTTGCACGCCCTCATCGACAGCCTTGTATATATGTGTGTCGGGATTGAACATATCTTAAAAATTTTAAACCATTGAATCCCTTTGAGATCCATGCACCGTATTATTTTCTTCCTATCCCTCTCATCATTTACTGCGATGCATGCCCCTCACCTTGCCTCCGCTTGAAACTAGTGTCAATGGTGTTGACGAGGCCCACTAGACCTTCCCCTTCATTCCCGGCTCTCTTCCTCCTCAAGCAGGTCCCCCGTCCTACCATCTTCTCCATTTCCAGAGGCTCCCTGCTGTCGGATCTGCCACCACCACATAACCTCTCGCTCCGCTTTGCCTCCACCACCAACATCGGCCAATTGTCCACTGCGACCTTGCAGCTTCCATGGTGGGGGCGCGGCCTCACTGCCTACCCATTCTGTCATCCACCATCAGGCCGCTACTTCCCATGTCCATCCCTCTAAGGATTGCAATCTCCTCGATTTCCCACTCCCTCACCCTAACCCCAATCCGAACTATGTACTCTAACTTATTGGGCCACTGTCAATCACCGGAGCTTTGCTGGAGTTGGAAGAGGAGTTGGGCGCATAAATCTTTAAGGAAATCAGGTGGCTTGAAATCTGTAAGAAATCCCCTCGATTTTCTGTCGAATGCTAATTAGCAATTCAATGTATATTTGTACTCTCTCTGTAGACATGCCAATGGTATAGTAACGAGTGTTGACTGTTTACCTCAGCTCAACAGAAAAGAGCTAAGAGTGTCTCTAAGAGTATTAAAAAATTGACTCCCTTAAAAATTTGGATTGGTGTTATTAAAAAAATTAGACTAAAAATCACCTCTCTCCTCCAATAGTACGCTAAATTTTGTTTAGATGTGTTCTTCTTCAATTGTTTATGTTTTCTTTTTCTTTTTCCTAGGAGGGAGATCGGTGCTGCTAGGCAGATCGGTCGATATAGCAACTCGATGATACTAGGGTTGGGAGTGCCGATATTTGTCCAAGAACTGAAAAATATATGGTGCAAATCACATAGGTAGTGAAAAGCTGGAAACTACTGTTGGATAAAAATTGACGCCTAAAATTTGTCCACGTAAAAGTTTTCCTCACAGATTCAATCATGTTTTTAGGTTATGTGGATAAATCTTAAGTGCCCATTTTTAGATCTAACGGTAATTTTTAAGTTTCCACTGTATACGTGGTTTCCACTTCATATTTTCCCCTCAAGATTTGGATACCTATCGGAAGTTTGGATACAACACAAACATTAGGAACTAAAATATAGTTATATACCAAAACAAAATTTAAATTTGCACTATAACGTGTTGCTTCAAAATTTCTTAATCCTATATATCTATAAAGTTTATCTCCCACTAAGTATAGTTAATGTTAATTCTCTTTTCTCCTACGAAACCACATCACCTCATTTTTTTTTGTCCTTTGGATGATAAATCAAGGACGTAAATTGTCTATGTTCACTAAAAAATGTCACCACATTTTCAATCATTTATAACTTTTTGATAATTAAATCGATCAAGGTACAAGACATGATACATAACATATTTGAAAGAAATCATACATATAAGAAAGTAAATTGTATACAACTTATATCTACTATTTTGTCATGTAGTTCTTCCGTAGTAACGCGTGGGGTTCCCATCTTGTGTAATTCATCATGCGCTTATCACACCATCTAATAGTTTATTTAAGAAAAAGTCAAAGTCTGAAGTAATTTAGATAGAAGCCACTACTACAAAAGTGATTTTTCTGTACGAGGCCCCATCATTTTTCCATGCGGACCATAACTAGTGGCGTTTGCAAAAATCGAGGGTCATTTTCCCATACGGCTGCTTAAGTGGCCTGTATGGAAAAATCGATTTTCCCATACGGGCCTATTAAGAGGGCCGCATGCAAAAATGAGCTCATTTTTGCATGCGGCTCACTTAAGCGCCCGCATGGAAAAATCGATTTTTCCATATGGGCCACTTAAGAAGCCGTATGCGAAAATAAAATTTGAAAATTTTGAAACTAGTATATCTCACTCATATGAACTCTAAATTGGATGATTTTTTTTCCTAAATGTTTCTAAAATCATGCTCTATAATGTTATTGTGTTCTTACTGGTATTATTTTGGCTATTTTTTCTTGTGACTTTGTTTTATCATTTAAAAATTTGAATTTCAAAACTTCAAATAATATTTTGAAGCAGTAAATGATTTCAACTGAAAAAGTCATCAACAACAAATTGTATAACTCATCAAGATCTATAAATTTTATTTTAATCATTTCTTCATCCCACAAAGTTATTTTTAAGATTGTTCACAAAATGTACATCTCTTATATAGTTTTATAAAAACTATATAAGAGATGTTTATTTTGTGAACAATCTTACAAAGTTATAAAACTATATAAGAGATGTTTATTTTGTGAACAATCTTACAAATAACTTTGTTGGATGAAGAAATGATTATAATAAAATTTATAGATCTTGATGAGTTATACAACTTTGTTGTTGATGACTTTTTCAGTTGAAATCATTTAGCATTTGAAAATATTGTTTGAAATTATCATGTTTTGAAAATCAAATTCAAACTGTTCAAACAAAATCATATAGAACAGTGACCAAAACAAAAGTTGTAGATCTTGATGAGTTATACAACTTTGTTGTTGATGATTTTTCCATTTGAAATCATCTAGTATCCGAAAAATTATTTGAATTTCTTACATTTTAAAATTCAAATTTTATATAGATCTCAATGAGTTCTACAACTTTGTAATTTCACACCTAACCCTATCTTATCCTCTCCTCTCAGTCTTCTCTCTCACTCTATCTCTTCTCTCTCTCTCTGACTGAGATCGAGCGGCGCGGGGCGCGGCGGCAGTGCCGGCCGAAAGCGGCGCGGGGCGGGGCGGGCACGGCGAGCGTGGCGGCGGCGACGGCCGAGAGCGGCGCGGCGCGCGGTGGCGGCAACGGTGGCGGCGGGCGGGAGCGGCCGCGGGCTCCGGTGCCAAGGGCGGCGGGGGCGTCGATCCGGCGGCGGCGGCGCGACCTCGCGTCGATCCGGCGTCAGCGGCCCGTCTCAGCGTGGATCCGGCGGCGGCGCGATGACGGCGTGGATCCGGCGGCGGCGGCGCGACCTCGGTGGCCCGTCCCCGCGCGGATCCGCCGCCTCTACCTCCCTCTGTCGTCGCCGTCGACTTCCCCGCCCTTCCCCGAGGCGCGACGACGGCGTGGATCTGGCGGCGGCGCGACCTCGGCGTGGATCCGGCGGCAGCGGCGCGACCTAGCATCGATCCGCCGTCGGCGGCGCGTCCCGGCATGGATCTAGCGGTGGCGTGACCTCGACGTCAATCCGGTGGCGGCGGCCCATCCCCGCGCGAATCCGGCGCCGACGACGACGGACAACGGTTGGAGTGACGGATTGGCCGACGACGGCGACGAATCCGGCGGCACGGAGGCCGGCTGGATTGGGCAGCGGTG